TRTAYMMYATGGATTTCCCTACYTCATTATCAAATATGATCGCGCACCTAAACATTTACAGAACGCACTTATATTATGTTAGATGACATTTATTTGTTGAACTGGCATCCAAGATTCATTGCAAAATTCACAGTTGACTTAAAACTCACTTGTAAACTTATTCCAACGATAAAATAAAGTCTTAATTAACCTTAATTAACCTTATACTTATTTCCTTTACTTAATTATATTTTTGAAATCACATTAGAATCATGTTTGACTTTTTGAAGTGTAGTTCTTACGTAAGGATGACACCTTGCCTCTGGGAAGAAAAATCTTAGCAACATGGAGCACAACCATGTAATACAAATAAAGTAAATTCTTCATCCAATCCCYTCATCTAGTCTTTATTTGCTTTTTTATCTATTATTACTATTATTTTTGCTTCGGTCTATAACAGATTATAAACTAGTTTGCCATCGCGTTGGTTAATTGCGAAGTTGTCTTCCAGCACCACACAAATGCTGAAAACAGACAGGGCTATGCTTACTGGACAAATAGCGTTTGCATTCAAACTCAATTTTTCGAGTATGTTCTTTTTAATGAAAAAAGAAAACTAAATCCATCAATTGTACATCTGCTCCAACCTTTATTTTTAAACTAATCAATTTATTTTCTTATCGATCTTTCAATGTTTTTAATATAGACTGCTGTCATCATTTTTAATAAAGTGCAGCGTACTCTCTTCAATAAAAAAAATTAAATATTAATGACAAACTAGAATGTTTGTTTGTGTGACTCAGCAAATATAATRTACAGAAGTCGACAAGCTATTGCGATTACGATTTACATCTCTGCTACTYTTCSAAAAGGTCACTGAGAACACCATGAGAAGCGCTTCAATCGTAGGACTGGTGATCTCTATTCTCCTATCTTTGCAGTCAAGACTGGRAWGTTCCCAAGCTCACAATGCAACCATGGAWTCACACGCATGCGACAAAAATTCTACGGACATTGGTGAGTAAAAGATGTTTGATTTTGTTGTCAAATTACATTTAAATACCAACAAAATTCCAAACTTGAAATATACGAAAGAGGGAGCTATATTCCATAAAACGCAAAATCTCTATGCAATTATATATGAATTAAGATGAAAAAGTTGATCTGAAAGTAACATCCCCTGTTGATAAAACAGTGTTACGATCCACAAACATGAAAGGTAAAACACAATATCCTTACCAAATCACATTAATCCAAAAAGGAGATTGACATCAAAATATTTCACCAATTTTTCACCAATGAAAAAATCAAAAAAAGGCGATTGGCTCTCTTCTGTCATTAGTTAATCTAAAAACAAAATAAATTTTAGAAGATGGCAATAATGARATTCTTGTTTTGTTCTAGACTACTTTCCAACTCCAAATTCGACAATAATTCTGAATATTAGTGGTGCCATTTGGATTAGTGTTACCATCATAGCCATCCTRTGCAACGCCCTCATCATTCACGTAGTCAGGGTCAACAAGCACATGCATACAACGACCAACTACCTCATCGTMAACATGGCAGTCGGTGACACATTTGCAGCAATTATAACTACCATTTTGTTCCTTTATATGRCTTACCACGGCTTTGGATGGGTTGGAAATGTGACCTTTGGAGAACACATCTATTGCAGGATGATATGTCCAATGTACTATCTTTGCATGCTCTGCTCCATATATAGTCTAGTGGTGATCACGTTTGATCGATTCCTGGCTGTCACCCGTCCCCTTAAGCACAAGCACCGGTCTTCCTGGACCAAATACACCATTCCCTGTATTTGGGTGATATCAATAGCAAYTGCATCTCATTACGCAGTTCGTAAAATCACTTTTTGCACAATTGAAGGTGAATTATATTGTCTTCCTTCTATTTCGAGACTGCAAGCCTATTTAACGCTTRCATTTGGCGTTCTCATTCCGCATATGGTTATATTTACCTTATATGCAGTTATTGCATACACGGTTTGYACACGAAAGGTCCCTGGCGAGCAAGCACAAAAGGGCAGAAKAGCATCGACAGATAAAGTTGCCAAAAAAGTTACCCTCATGATTGTCTGYATTCTTGTGGCTTTTGACGTCGCATATGCCGCAGTATTCCTCGGGTTTCTATTCCCRTTCCTCTATCATGGCAAAGTAACCGAAAGTTWTCTTGAAGTTTTTTCATATAAGCTTCTTTTGATTACCAATGGCATTTCCAATGCCATTATTTATGCAGTATTCAACGAAAGCTTCAGGATTGCTTTTAAGCGCGCTTTAACCGTCAACATCTTCATGATATCAATGTGTGAGCTAAAGAAAAAAATATCAACGAAAACTGTAAGTCCTTCATCATGTGCAAAGAGTTCAATAGCCGACACATCGCCAGAAATGACTTGAATGTCTAAACCAACCAGCATCGACATTACTTTTTTAAATAGCTATACAGATGAACTCAATAAAACACGCATTACCGCTTATAGTACAGGATWACTCTCAGTCGAGGAAAAGTTGTGTAACAAATACCTTCAGTAATAACTTTTCATGGCTGAATCCTTTAGCAGGTTGTTGGTTTTAATAGTGCAAGAGAGGAATAACGACATCAACGTTCTCAAATTAGGACATAGTTAACCAAAAGCCAAAGAAGATTATTTGAATACCACAAAAAAAAATCCAATTAATGTTTATTATACATTGTTTACATTTTAAAAGAAGACTCTAGCAAAAAAAGTCATGTCGAAGTGTAATAAGTGCAAAGCTGYAACGAGCGCCTTTTAGGCGTCTTGGACATAATAGCACTGCTGGTGCAACGTGCAAATTATTCAGAAGGTTATTGGTTAGCTAATTAACATCTTWTCGGTAATAACTTGAAGGTTTTCTGCTTATGAAAATTAAAAGTAGTCTGTTAACCAATAGGGTTTTAGAAAGTTAATATAATGTATAATCAACTGTGTTAAATATGTACTTATTGAACAAATAATCAAATTTCAAAGTTATTGTACGCTAATTAATCGAACGATGAAATAAATTCTTCATTAATCTGAYTGCTGTTTGAGCCTAAACTTAACGAGAACGAGCAGACATAAGCAACTGCTCTGGTTGTACAATATGTCCTTTAGTAAACTGATCGGGACATCAGTCTTCTTCAAATATTGTTTTTTCAATATCATTCCTTGTTTTAATAAGACATGAGATATATAAAAAAAAACATTTTCTATTCTTTCATATATTTTTGACGTTTGATTTAGTTGAGCTTTGGAGTCCTTCAAGGGGGTAAGTTTTAAARKAGATCAACGTAGTTCACAACTTTCATAAATATTTTATTTTCCGTTGTCTTTTCGAGCTGATGAAAATATTGCTATACATTCATGTGGATATTTGAGCTCCAATTTATTTTATCTCTCAGGTTTAAGCGAGGGTAAGTCATATCACAATCATCCAATGTTTATCCAATACATCTGGTTATGTTATTTCAAGGGTATTTTGTAGCGTTAACGTTTTCGTCATTCTCATCTGCCTAGTGTCATCGGTAGTAATATGTTAGTAAGTGCACTCCTTTAATTGAACTCAAATTAATATCAATGAAAAAAATACCAAATGTGATGGTTTGATCGATAGACCATAACGATGACTATTTATACTTCTGTTCTTCCTCAAAAAGTTCAATTATACTGAAAGAAAGACCATGAGAAGGGCTTCAATCGTGGGACTGTTGGTCTCTATGCTTTTTTGCTCACTGACAAGACTGGGCAACTCAAAACAACGCACAAATGCAACCACGGGTCTACCAGCCTGTAAACTCGACGAGATCACCGGTGGGTACAACKTCTACATCGACTACTAATAAATACGAAAAATACTTTGAGCCAAAAACCTTCCAAATCCAAATCAATATGGGATCTAAAAAGGAATATAACTTTTGCTTTTGGGGGCATTTTCCCCTGTCGCCATATCGTGACAAAACAAGAACAAGCTATAGCATTTTATCGTTTTTTTATTTTTATCTATTTATTTTTCTATKAACAAAGTAATCACTGTCAATTGTTGCTTGATTAACTGTTCTAGAATACCTGCCAACGCCAAAGACAGCTACCATCCGGAACACTGGTGGTGTACTTTGGATTATTGTTACCACCATAGCCATCCTATGCAACGCCCTCATCATTCATGTGGTCARAGTTAACAAGAATATGCGCTCAACAACCAACTACCTCATTGTCAACATGGCAGTCGGAGACACATTCGCAGCAATCCTAACTACCATTGTGGCACTGTATGCTACTTATAAAGGCTACGGGTGGTCTTGGGGTGCAAACCTTGGCGAATTCATCTACTGCAGGATGATATGTCCAATGTACTATCTTTGCATGCTCTGCTCCATATACAGTCTAGTGGTGATCACATTTGATCGTTTCCTGGCTGTCAAGTATCCTGTCAAATACAAGAACCGTTCTTCCTGGACGAAACWCACCATTGCCTGTATTTGGCTGACATCATTTGCAGTCGCAACTCACTACGCAGTTCGAGAAATCAGTTTTTGCGTAATTAAAAGTGAATTGTATTGTWTACCTRTTCCTTCAGGGGTGCAGGCATATCTAATGCTAATCCTTGGCTTTGTCCTCCCACATTTTATCATATTGACTCTATACATGATAATCGTGTACACATTGTGCACMAGACGAGGACCTGGGGAGCATGCGCAAGACACCAGCGGTCAGACAGCAACAGAGAAAGCTGCCAAAAAGATCACTCTGATGATTGTGTGCATTCTTATCGCCTTCGACGTTGCATATGTCCCAATCTTCCTCGYTTACCTGTTTCCGTTTCTCCTTGAAGCAAGGGTAAGCGAGAGCTTTCTTGAAGTTCTGTCGTACAAGATCCTTTTGATTACCAATGGTATTTCCAATGCTCTTATTTATGCAGTATTCAATAAAAGTTTTAGGCAAGCATTCCAGGAAGCCTTACYCTTTAGTCGTTCCAAGGTTTCAGTGGGGAAGCTGAACGAAAGATTGACTACGAATAAAGGGAGTCCTTCATCACAGGACAAAACATTYGTCTCTGGAACATAAGTTTACAATAAATGTAAAGTCATGAAGATATAAACAGTTRCAATCAATGAACTGTCAAATAGCTCCGCTATTTCTAGCCTTGGTGATTAAATAACTGACGTTCCGATTATATCGATATAGTGTAGGAACCATGACATTGTATAAAGCTTAAGCTATTGTGATAAAGAAATGGCATTTTGCTATATAAGACATCTTATCAACAATAGTCATTTATCGCTTATGTAGTCAAGCTAACTAGTCATCACTGTAGACATTGAAAACTGCACATTTGAATTAAACAACAATAAAATAATGCAATATAATATCACGTAATGTCTTTAATATCAGAAAGGTCTTGATGAAACTCCACTCGTACTCTTTCTTTCTGTAGTACCAGTTGTTAGTTACCTAATTGTTTACAGTATTCATGTATTTTTCAGTATTATATGAGTTAGTAAAATTCCTTATCATTTTTAATACATTATTCATGTTCAATTTGGTGGAAGAATGAGCTTTTTGTCTCAGTTATTACTAAAGAAAGAAAAAATAATATGTTTATTGACACAACTCTAAACAAACAACTGCTACTCTAAAAAGGATGTCTTTCTTCAGTTGCTGTTGAGAATGGCTTTTTCTCATGTTTCTTCTGGATTTTTCGTATGATTGTTTGGATTAAACCTTTTCTTKATCCCTATATAATAAATAACATCTGCCGACTTTATCATTTATTTGATTACCCGCTAGCTACTCGAATATACATTTAATTTCAATTTCAGTTATCTTTCAATGATCATTTGTTTGCTGCATGTTTATTGATTATTTTCCTCTATATTGCATTCTGAATTTGTAGAGATGGATTTTTAAATTTGAAATTTTAAAATTCTGTCAGCTTTTAATTTTGAAAATTATCGAGAGTCTAAAAACCACAAAGTGTTAAATTCAGTGATCTTTTGTAATGAGGTACTTTATATACATAGCACGCAAGCTAGTGGGATACTTATAATTAATCAATTTTTGAAAATGACTCAGCTGATTTCTCGAATTCAACGTTTGACCTAAAGTATATTCTTTTAATCTTAAACATGATTGATGTTAGATTTAAAAAGTTAGTCGTAATATTTTTTAATAACATAGAATTATAAATTGTCCTTTGCGGGATATTTGTTTTATTTGTATTTGAGTAGTTTATTATTGATTTATTYATTTTAATGAAGTACGTCGACAACGTTTATTGCACCAAATCTAGTATTCCATCCACATTACGTTCTTAAAAGATCATGAAAAAGGCGTCAGTTTTGGGACTCTTCATTACCGTTCTATTCTGCCTTCAGTCGAAATCTGAAGATATGCAGCAAGGTGCTAAAGTAAAGACAAGGAAAGATGAATCCGCTTCTTGTCCAAACACTGTCAACGGTAAACAATTTACTTCTTTGAACCACACTTTTAACACCAAATTATAATATATTTTCATTTTGGAACAAGATTTTCATGGTCACAAATTCKTAAAAATTAAAACCGCCTTTCATCCATGAGTCGAATTGCAAGATGCGTACAAAGCCGCTTAGTTAATATGCTGYGATCTTGACATCGTTCAATAACAATTCAATTCAACAATGCCAATGAAAACCAATGACAAAGCAATTCAGAGAGATCTAAGTCGATCCTTAAATACGTATTATGTAGATTTAGTGAAGTTAGGATGAAATTTGGTTTTTACGGACGGGAACAAAGTTTTAGCGTTTTTACGATTCATTTGACGAGKTGGAACTTTGATTAACAACTCTTTACAATTTTATTTCTCAGAAGAGATTGCTAAACCAGACTTTCCTGGTAAAGATACACTCGCTGTATTTTGGATATCTCTAGTAATAGCAGCAGTTCTTTGCAACGCCCTCATCATTCACGTTGTCAGAGTTAACCCCCACATGCGCACAACGACTAATTATCACATCGTCAACATGGCATTTGGTGACATACTAGCGACCATAACCACTTCATTTGGAACTTTCCATATCATATACCATGGTTATGAGTGGACAGGAAATGAAATATTTGGAGAGTACATATTCTGCAGATTGGGCTGTCCACTCTATCATCTCTTCATGCTCTGCTCCATATACAGTCTCGTTGCCATCACYTTTGAYCGTTTCATGGCTGTCACTTTCCCTCTCAAGTATAAAGGTAGTTCTTCCTGGTCAAAATACACAATACCAACAATTTGGATGGCGTCCATAGCAGTTCCAGGTCACTACGCCGTTTCAAAAACAAAGTTCTGCCCAATCGAAGGAAAGTTCTACTGCATTCCGATGCCATCTCCAGTTGATGCCATCTTGATTATATCCCTTGGTTTTGGTCTTGCTCACGTCATCATAATAGCTYTATATATGGCAATTGCCTACAAGCTCTGGACAAGAAGGATTCCTGGTGAGCAAGCTGCAAAGGAAAGTGGGCACACATCTGCTCAAAAAGTTGCCAGAAAGGTAACTCAAATGATTATTTGCATCATTTTGGCATTCGAAATATCATGGACACCGATGTTTATTGGATACGTTTTACCAGTACTTCTCACTGGTTCCGTAGATGCACACGATTTTATCCGCTTCTTTGGGTTTAAGATGCTCATGATTTCAAATGGCATTTCCAATTTTGCCATTTATGCAGTTTTCAATGAAAACTATCGTAGAGCGTTTAAAGAAACCTTAAGCTGCAAGACTTTGGGAAAGATCTTTGAAAACGTGAAGACCAAAGCCAATAGTAACGTGGTAAGAGATACAAGAAATGAATTAACACAGGAGACTTCCCTTGCAAGTATCTCAGCATAAAGTCATTGTTTRTAACAAGTACAGCCTRCAATTCAACTGGGATTGGACCGAACCTCCAAAACAGATGATAGAAGGATCGAAAGATATAACATAAACTTAATCTTAATAGTCATAGTCTACATTAGATGTTTTTGGTTCAGTAACTATATYATGTATAAAAGAATTGTAGAAGATACTCCGAGGAAACAATGCCGGATAATCTTAATGTATTCTATTTCCCCGCAGCTTTGACTACAATTATTTTAATCAAAATTTAATAACAGTCATCATTCAATATATTTACTGTATCGACAGCTCTATGTGTATTATGTACCAAGGAAAACTATTCATGGTTTTCGGCATTTATATCGCAAGTTATAAAACACATTTGCTTTGACTTATATTAAGTGAATTTGTACAAACACAAAGGAAAATATAAAATTCACTTTGAATGTGTTTTATTGTGTGTTATTTTATCCTGAGTATTGTCTAGTCCATTAAAATCTTAAACACAAGAGTTACCAAGGTGAACCGGMGTACATAGATGATGTCATTGAAGGAACAAGAGAACATCTGGACAATCTTATATTCATAACAGTAGGCGAGAAGAAAGCATTTTATAAGGGAAAAATTTCACCAAATTAGCTATTTTTTCGAGCTATATTCTAAAAAAATATTTTAACTTTGAATTTTCAAAATTCTTTASTGATTTTTTTAAAGATACTGTTTAGGTATTTACCCTAACTAACTCGTCATGTCACTAATCTTCGACTATTAAATCTGCGGCTTGATGTGAGATATCAGTGAAAAGACAACACAAATGCTTTTATTTGCCTTTTCCAATATCAATTTCCGTGCTCTGAATGACAAGGAACAACACTGCAGATGCAAACATTTAAACGAAAGTTTATGTTCTCCCACTGGTGTATATCTCTTTGATGAACGATGATGAAGATGGCACCTGCGACCGCGAAGACCTTGATCTCTCTTYTTCTATGCTTACAGCAGTCAAGAGCAGACGCACCACCATGTCATGTTAATGAAACAGGTTAGAAGCACTAAACAACCAATATGATTTTTATTAAGAGTGATTTGTAATACACACAATTAMATGAAATCTTGATTTTGTTTCTGTGTTATTGTTATGAAGAAAAACGATCATAAAAATCGAAAGGATAATTGGTCATATAATAAAAGTTAAGAAACAATTGTTCATATGTTTTTAGGAATTGCTCTGGCACCAAAAGTACCTCTAGGCAAAGACATTTTCACTACAATTTGGTTGTCAGTTGCTACCACTGCAATTGTTTCAAATGTCCTTATCATATACGCTGTCAAAGTCAACCCTAATATGCACACAACTACAAACTATTTTATTGTCAACATGGCCATCGGTGACCTTCTAGCAACGATCAGCACTACTGTTGGCTCATTGTACCAAATGTATTATGGATTCGTATGGATTGGAAGTGTTGTTATTGGTGAATACATTTACTGCAGGATGGCTTGTCCCTTCTTTTATATCTGTATGATGTGCTCAATATACAGCCTAATCGCCATTACTTTTGATCGATTCATGGCTGTCGCCCGTCCACTTCAGTACAAGAATACTAATTCCTCTTGGAGCTTTAAGTATACAATACTWGGAATTTGGATGCTTTCCTTTGCAACACCTGGTTACTACTCTTTGAAAGAAGTTTCATATTGTATGGCTTTAGACAAGTTGAGGTGCCTTCCAGTTGGGTCACTCCTCGAAGCCCTTTTGGCCTTATTTCTTGGGTTTGTCTTTCCTCTGGTTGTCATGATGATTCTATATATGGTAATTGCTCAYAAACTATGCACGAGACGGGTCCCTGGTGAGCATGCGCAAAACCGTAACACSCAAACTGCTGCCAGCAAAGTGGCGAGAAAAGTAACACTCATGGTTATTTGCGTTCTTGTGGCATTTGAAGTATCGTACGCACCAGTCTTCTTCGGGCTCGTGTTTCCATATCTATATTCTGGAAAAAAGAATCAAAACTTCCTTGAAGTTTCAGTATACCAAATGCTAATGATATCTAATGGGGTTTTTAACGCACTCATTTATGCCATTTTCAATGACAATTTCCGRCGCGCATTTAAAGAAGCTCTGTGCTATAACCCTATGGCGATAATGTTGAAGAACTTATGCCCTAAGTCAAATCGAGTAAATATCAACAAGAGCGTCTCTTTTCAAGACAGCAATCTCCAGAAAACAAGACAGGTCTTTGTTACATCTATTTAAGTAAATAGAGATGCATTACAATGCTAATAATTCGATGTATGATATGCTGATATATAATTAGGATTTATTTGGAATAAATTGCGTCAAATTAAAAAATATATATCAGAGATTAAAATTAATTTCGTGTTAGAGCACTATTAATAATGTGTATACTCGACAAAACATTATAGATTTAGTTCTTTGTTCATTTTGACAGAGCACTTCACATTTCTTGTTGTCATTTTTCAAGTGYATCTTGCAAGTCTTATCTCACTTGATTTAATTAAAATGAAAGCAAATGAAAACTCGTCAAGCTTATTCATTGAATACAGCATAGATTAAMATCGGCACAGCGTGTCAATAACACGAAAGATCATACATTCTCTCGAAAGTCATCATCTGGAGTATCTCAGTATCTCAGTATATGTTTTCAACCAATGATGAATATAGCGTCTCTTTTTGGACTTCTCATCTCCATCCTTCTATGTTTGCAGTCAAGATCCGAACATTTGCGAGATAACAGTACAAACAGCGATTTACGTTCGTGYAAATTCAATATAAGCGGTACGTGAATTCATATTTATTTTTTAAGTACTTTTCAACTTTTCAGTTCGATTACTTAAAAACTAATTGCGGCTTATAAGCAATTCAATCGATAATTATTTTTACAAAAGAAAAAACGATATATGTTGTTGCCGTTATTAATGTTTATATACAACGTTCAGGGAACATAAAATAACGACATAAAAACACRAATACTTATATAAGTTTTTAAATATTTTTTCAATGTGTAAAAGAATATAATTTGATTATATATAACTAGGTTATTATCTTTAAAAATAGCACAACAATTTTCAATTTCAACAAAGACATGTTTCGACCTTCATAAAGCCATCTTCAGTTTGAATGTGATTACATTTTAACTAGGTAATTATATTATTTCAATTCTTAGAAATAGAAGCTTCATCAAACATTCCCATCGACAAACATGTTATCTTCGCCATATGGGTTACTATTGCATCCCTTGCCTTCATTTCGAATGCACTCATTATMCATGTCGTTAGAGTYAACCGACACATGCGCAATACGACCAACTACCTCATAGTCAATATGGCAGTCGGTGATATAATAGTGACTCTCTTGACGTCTTATGGAACGACTCACTTTWTTTACCAAGGAAATACGTGGACTGRGAATGTACATGTTGGAGAATATCTTTTCTGCCGTTTGGGACGACTCCTAAGTTACATTTGCATGTTGTGTTCAATCTATAGCCTCCTGGCCATCACCTTCGATCGATTCCTGGCTGTCACTCGTCCTCTCAAGCACAAGAATCACTCTTCCTGGAACAAATACATTATTTTTGCAGTTTGGATTTCTTCCATAGCAATGCCAGCCAGCTTCAATGTCAGCAAAAGTACCTATTGYTCAATTGGAGGCAAGTTTTATTGCTTTCCAAGCAAATCGCCAGTCCAAGCCATTCTGCTCATGTCCCTTGGGTAYGCTCTTCCCCATGCRAGCATTGTTGTTCTATATATGGCAATTGTTCGAAAGCTGTGCATGAGAAAAGTTCCTGGTGAGCATGCTCAAGAAGCGAATGGCCAAACCGCTGCCCAACAAGTTGCCAGAAAGGTTACTCGGATGATAATATGCATCCTTGTGGCATTTGAAATATCATGGTTTCCATTGTTTACTTTGGAAGTATTTCCATATCTCTATTATGGCGAAGTAAGYAATAATTCCCTAGAAGTCATTGGTCTCCAGATTCTGATGGTTTCAAATGGAATTTCCAATGCCTTGATTTATGCCATTTTTAACGAGAGCTTTCAACAAGCTTTTAAGAAGGTTCTCTGCTGCAAAACTATTACTGTGATATTAGAGAAGCTCCACATTGGAACCAATGTTAAAACTGTTAACAGAGTACGGCAAAATGCAGCATAACTCAAACTAATCGAGAACAACTCATAACAGTGGCGGATCCAGGATTTTTCAAAGGGGTTTTCCACTTTTTGACCTTTTCCCCCCCATTTTCCTGAAACGAACTTTTTTAATGTACCTCTGGAACTGTAGCAAATGTAGTGTSAATGTATTTAATAAAAATTCATTGTATGATGCGTTTTCATTTTATTTCATTGATCATTTATTTTATTTTTTTATTTTTTTATGTATTAGGGGGGCTCCTAGGAACACATAGAGCCCCCCTGGATCCGACACTGCATAAGGAACCTTAAGGTTGTAAAATCAGAATTTTCAACATTTGCAGCATACTAGTGGAACTTTATCATGGGAAATATGTAATAAATCAAACTACACTTATATTTTGTTCTTTTTTTAAATTTTCCTTCTTTTTTCAATTCGAATTACAAGTTTTGTGACACCTTTTACATTAATTTGACAGACATGTACCAACTACAAAACTAAGGTGCCAATCTGATACCTCTCACGACACTGGATGGGTCAATATACGTTTGAAAAGGAAAACAAGAATCGAACTTCAAAGACCTCGGCATTATGTACACATTCATCTTCATATGTCAATTCAAACAACAATATCAAAAGCGAATCGAATTTGATTGTGTGAAAACCGTGTGAGCCTTTTTGGATTAAGATTTTCGTTTTAAAGTTATGGCRTCAAATATCAAATTTCACATCAAAGATTCGTACTTTTAAATTCAAATAGCAATAACTCCGCAAATAAAAAAACACCGAAAAAACATTCACGCGCTTTTTAAGTTCAATTGACCAATATACCGTACAAATGTTGTTGAAAAAATAAATTCTTTTTTCGGTTTAACTTTTTTTTACCTTTTTTTTAATTTAATTACTTATTAAATATTATTACAAACCAATGTCATAGACGTTTAAATTATTGTGTTAGCTTCAAAACGATGTATAATATGCTTAGGTATAATTTAATGAAGCGAAGATATGATTTCTTTACAGTGGTACCCCGCGAAGAGGAGCAGTAACCTTAATAACATATTACACTGTTTCCATACCGCTAAGAGTCGCCCTTATCATATTTTGTGAACTCCCACATACAAATATATTGCTTTCAAATTAATAAAAGCGAAGCATCAAATATTAATTATAATAAACTCATTTATTTGACTTTCTTTGTTTGCTGAAAATAAATAAATGAATACACTGAATGAGGTTTAAGTTTACTGGGAAAGGCACTTCAAGTGTAGTTAACATTTGTTTTTCTGGGCGACGATCAAAGATGAATGCAGCGTCAGGTCTTAAAGTGCTAGCCTTTCTCCTCATTTGCTTACAGCCAATATCTGGAAATTTAAAAAAGATCAACTCAAGCAGCTTGAACGACTGGGACATGCGCCCTTGTAAATTCAACTATAGTGGTAAGCAAAAGGCCTTTTCGAATGTCAATGAGAYTGTTTGTGGTCTCACTGAATCTCTTATAGAATTCTAGAGCAAAACACTTCAAAGAACTTAGCAAATAATACCTTTTTACATCCCAAATATGTATTGAATATAGAATTATCAATGATTCTTCGCTTTAGCTTTTGACAAAATTATATATTGACGATTTGTACATGTAAATCAGAGAAACTCATAAAATGGTACTAATGAAAATTTCAATGGATGCTCACAGATATTGGAATTTTTATTTCCAGAGGTTGCACCTTCCCAAAGTCTAGATATCAGTGCAACTGTTCTCTATGCAATATGGTTTGCTGCTGTCATGGCTGCCCTTTTCTGTAACKCTCTTATCATACACGTGATTCGAGTAAACCAGCACATGCATACGACTACCAATTATCTTATCGCAAACATGGCAGTTGGTGACATGATTATAACTCTTGCATCTTCATATTTGGCTAACCATTATATTCATAACGGATACCAATGGACTGGAAATCCTTTGGTTGGAGAATATCTATTCTGTCGGTTGCTACCATCGTTCAATTATATCTGCATGCTATGTTCCGTTTACAGCCTTGTTTTCGTTACTTTTGACCGGTTCCTGGCAGTCACACGCCCTCTTAARTACAAGAAYAAGGCTTSCTGGACAAGATATACGATACCAGCCATTTGGGTAGCATCATTAGCACTTCCAATAAACTATGTGCTGAGAAAAATAACATATTGCTCGGTAGAAGGAAAGTTTTATTGCCTTCCAAAGGTGTTCGAGGTTGATGCTATTTTGTTGATAACYCTTGGGTATGGCGCTCCTCATGTCGTCATAGTGGTGCTGTACGTAGGAATCGCCTTCAAACTCTGGACAAGAAGAGTTCCTGGTGAGCAAACTCAAGAAACCAATGGCCAGATTGCTGCTCAGCAAGTTGCAAGAAAAATTACTCGAATGATTATCTGCATTCTTGTTGCTTTTGAAGTATCGTGGACTCCACTAATGTTCGGTTATATATTACAGTCTCTCTTTTTTGGAGAGCATAATGAAAATGGTATTGTGAGGCTGGGATATACAACGCTGGTGGTCACTAATGGTATATCCAATGCTGCTATTTTTGCTGTTTTCAATGAGAACTTTAGACATGCTTTCAAGCAAGTGTGGATTTGCAAAACCATAAGTACAGCTCTGAGAAAACTGTTTGATATACTAAGAAGAAAGAAGGAAATTCCAAGAATCGACAACAACGCGCCACAACTGGGCCGCTGAAAATGATAGGGACCACTGAAAAAGCAAGCAAAATTATAACATTCTGATTCATAATAGAAATATMTTGTTAGRTTGACAACCTTTTCAAGATCGGCTGTACCTTTTTAATTTTTTGTGGTTATACATGTTGTGTTAGATGTAAAGGGAACTCGTCACAATGTACATGTACCGAGGGGGGAGAGGGGGGGGGGGGGGACTTGAGCAAAAGGGACCAAAACAGATGATAAATAATATAAAAACCTTCTTATTGCACAGTTATTTTATTGTATAATCTCAGTTTTACGTTGTAAACTATATATATCTTCTATTTATTATTACATTAAGCTTTTAAATTAATTTCCAGCATATTTAATACTGTGGACATATTTCCATAGCTTGTATATTCACAACTTTACGCGACATTTGCTGGGTAATGGTATTGCATGCGTTGTTACTAGCTTACAAGCATCCGCGCGCTCTTATTTTCTAGBAGTTGAAATCACTCCACCATTGGAGTTACAGTTACTCTTTCCTGGTGAAGTAACGTTTACAGAGTTAAATCTACTCTACAAAATGAGTAGTTTTTGCTCCAAAGGTTTAAATCAGCTCGGAAAGAGAGACAATAAATCCAAAAAGGAGCTCAAAATAACTCTTACTACCCCAGGTGCAATTACAATTGATGGAGTTAAATCTACTCCAAAATTTAAAGGAGTTATCTTGTACCTTTACAAAAAGTCTTCTTTTTGAGTTTTATCAACTCCTTGGAAATAGCAGTGTGATATTATTTATGCTATGTTTTTGAGAGCATCACAAACCTTGAACAAACTTTAATGTTTTTGTGTAACTTAACTTGTACTGATGATTATTTATTCAATGAGTCTGTTCCTTCTTTTTATGATCGGTCATTATTATGCTTTCTGTACTAGCGGCCACTTGATGACTGTCATAATTCTCTTCCTCAGTCCTAATGCTCCGCTTAAACAAATCAGACTTACAGCGAAAAATCTCCTTGAAAGCGTGCCTGAAGTTTTGATTAAAAGTAATATAAATAAGAAAAYTGGAAATCCCATTTAAAATTACCAAAAAYTTGTATGAAAACAGTTGCATGAAACTTATGTTTCTTATGTTGAAATACACACGAGGAAGGATGTAACCAAGAAATATSGGTGMCCAGGAYAATTCAAACGCAACAAAGATACAAATAATCATATATGTGACTTTTTTTGCAATTTGCTGTGCAGCGGTTTGAACTGCGCTGTTGTGGGCATGCTCRCCGGGAATTTTTCTTGTGCAAAGTTTAAAGGCAATTGCTATATAAAGAATCACTATAATAACATGTGGCAGGACAAAACCGACGGAAAAAATCAAAAGTCCATCGAGTGTTGATGATTTATCATTGCAGTAGAATTTTCCTTCCAGAGAACACAGTACAACTTCATTGACTGCATAGTTGACTGGTATTGCTATGGATGCCAGCCAAATGACGGRGATGGAATATTTTGTCCAGGAAGAATGGTGCTTGTGCTTAAGAGGTCGTAAAACAGCCAGGAAGCGATCAAAGGTGATGCCAATCACACTGAATATCGACCCAAGCATGAAAACGTAATAGAAACAGTATCCAGCCTTACAGAAAAGAAATCGTCCAACGTCCTCGCCTCCAGTCCATAGCTGTCCCCTATCCTCGATTGTAWACAATATAGAAAATGTGGTCAAAATGCTGGAGAACAGATCCCCAACCGCCATGTTGACAATAAGGTAATTGGTCGTAGTGTGCATCTGTTGGTTAACCTTGACAATGTAAATGATAAGAACGTTGCACAGAACGGAAAATGTACAAATAGTTGTGCCGACAATATAACCACTTGTCTTGCCAATGGGMAACGCTTGATCCTCTCCTATTTCTTAAAAAAAGGAAAAGGATTAATTCAGTGTTAATTAATCGCTCTCAATTCTAATAAATAAATAAAAATGCTCTTGGAGATCTGAGATCAAGATAATATCTGTAATTTCCTAAATCATCCTGTGAACCATCACAACTACGACATGAAATCGGATTTCTTTGTGAATTTGAGACGTTTACTTAATGTAAAGGCGGTGATAAAAAATACCAACAAAAAAAACATCTTACTGATTGTGCCGTTTTGACAGAAAAGCTCTGTGGAAGTGGTRTTATTAACTTTCTCATCTTGAGAAAYTTTAGAAGTTGATTGCAGGCAGAAGAGAAAAGGAATTAGGAGCCAAAACAATAAAGATTTGCTGTGCATCTTTCCAAGTACGTTTGCAATTGGTAGAAGCCTTGGTAAGTCTAGAACATCTTGTGAGGGAGTGATTTCCATATTTTTTATTAGTGTTTGTTTGGTTTGWAGTTTRCCAGCTAATTGCCTCTGATGACAGTTATTGTATTTCAAAATTGAATTAAAGCAAGAATATTAAAGGTTTTTAATTTTTTGGAAGATTTTGTACTCAAACGCACTTGACGTTTTTGAGATTTTGAAGATGCTGCGATGATTCTTTAGAATAGTCTTTCCGGCAAAATAGAATATARAATTAAAATATGCTATTTAATTAGGTTTTGTTAATTCTTAAAATCAACAATATACTGACGATTTTGTGATTGCAAGCTTGARTTGGCCTAGAATAAAAATAAACCTCCTTCTTTTTTGACAATTTGTCATTAAAGAGGACACTTTCAAAAGCTTTAGATTGACAATGACCTAACTTGTTTGTGGAAATTTGAGTTTGCTTTATAACAGATTTTGTCAACAATAATCAAGTCAAGATTCAAACTGTAATCTTGAACCAGAGTTTTAATTGGGGAACTCCTCGACTTTAGAGCCGTGTTGACTTTAAAGTGATTAAGCCATCTGAAGTTTGGCGTTTAATCTGATTGGTGGCTCTAGCTTATTGAAAGTCAATCACAGCAAAACTTGAGATGTATTTGCTAGAGTTCGCTTAATTGAGTTTTAATCCAAATAAGCTCTGAAGAGAAATTTGTGCAACAAAAATCAATTCAGGTTAATAGGTGTGGGAAAATCACATTCAGTTTACAAGTTCCACTTTTAGAAGAAATTGAATTTTCTGTTTTATTTTTATGTACATTTACTGTATTTTCTAGTGGTAAGGTTAGCCAGAAGCCAAAAAAGTGCTCGATTATCAGATATGAACGACTCAATTAATCCAGTAATCCGTATAATAAAAAATTATTTTTGAGCCAGCTGATACCTTTCCCACTCCTCATTTAAACTTAATTTAGCAGCTTATTTCACACCTTCAGCTTATTTACCGAGACGAACTGATGCTCAATCATCAATTGCACTGAAATACTCTGAGTTTCTAACTAACTTCTTAAGAGTCACTTCTGGAGACTTAAAAAAAATATGATCGTAATGTTTCGCTTTGGAAATTTCCCAAATATTCCGGAGAGCGCAATTATATGACATATCCAATTCCAGAGACACGTGCATACATTCACAGCCACCGTATTCAACATTGACCATAACCAGATCCATACATTTCCATAACGATATTCCACATTGACCACAACCAAACCCATCAATTGTTCACAACCATAAACAACCTGTTACATACATTTATATCAACCATATACTCAACATTGACCATATTTTATTATACTACGTATCATTTTTTTCTTTTAAGAATTAAAAGTTTTTCATATTTCCTAGTCATCAGYCATTCTCGCTCAAAAGCAAGCGAGCAAGGAAGGGCTGTGATGTAAATAGTACTAACACAGCAAATGAAGGGCAGTCCAATCCAAKCAGCTACTGTTATAGATAATTGCAGGATATAATTCAAAAGATCATAGCTATCAAAAAGGAAACGATTTGACCCAATCAAAACTCTGCAATAAGATGTTCCCATCAGAAGACAAGACAATTTAAAAATTGTAAACAAAAGAAAAATAATATTCACAAAASTGACATTTTAAACGCAACATGCGCTAAAGTCAAGATGGTCAAAGCTAGTCATATTGCTTGGGGACTTAAAAGGTACAAGCAATTCCGAATAAATCAAATATAATTTCAGCTTGAAATTTCGTCTTCATGAAAAAGGCTACCGTCCTTCGACTCTTGATCAACCTTCTTGTCTGTCTGCAGTCTACATCTGAAGATGTACGGCTGGAAGACAAGACTGCTAGAAAAGATGTTAACTCGCGTTCCTGTCCACCTAACATTACTGGTAACAATTGATAGTCGAAATGATCTTGGCAAAAATATCAGGGGCCGGTATATAAAGTTATCCACTCAGACTTCGTGTGGATTTTTCCTTTGAAAACAGTTCATCAAGTGGAATGGATAGCATTCACTCTTCGCACAACCGGCCCCAGGTGTTGKTGCTTTTTGAACTTGTTTAAATCATTCACTGATGGACCTTGATTAAAAGTATTTCCACGTTTATTTCTCAGAAGATATCATYACTCCAGAAATTCCTAGCAAGATTGTGCTCACATCCCTTTGGATGTCTTTAGTAATAGTTGCAGTTCTTTGCAACGCTCTCATCATTCACGTTGTCAGAGTTAACCCCCACATGCGCACAACGACCAACTACCTCATCGTCAACATGGCGCTTGGTGACATACTAGCGAGCGTAACCACTTCCTTTGGAATTCTCTATCTTATACACAACGGATATGAGTGGACAGGAAATAAAATAATGGGAGAGTACATATTCTGCCCCTTGGGGTGTAAATCGCATTACTTCTTCATGCTGTGCTCTATGTACAGCCTGGTTGCCATCACCTTCGATCGATTCATGGCTGTTACTTACCCTCTCAAATATAAAAGCCATTCTTCCTGGACAAAGTATATCATACCCATCATTTGGGTGGCGTCCATGGCAGTGCCAGCTCACTACATCATTACACAAGCCGTATTTTGTCGAATAGAAGGAAAGTTCTACTGCATTTTGATGCCATCACAAGTCGATGCCATCTTGATTTTTACCACTGGTTATGGTCTGCCTCACATCGTTACCGTGGTTCTATATATGGCAATTGCTTACAAGCTCTGGACAAGAAGGGTTCCTGGTGAGCAWGCWTCGGAAGACAATGGCCAAACCGCTGCTCAGAAAGTTGCCAGAAAAGTCACTCGGATGATTATTTGGATCATCGTTGCATTTGAAATATCATGGACTCCGATTTTCATTGGGTATATTCTTCCAGCACTTGTTGGTGGTGGCTACAGTGCAAAAGATGCCACTAAATTCATTTGGTATAAGATGCTCATGATTTCAAATGGGATTTCCAATTTCATCATTTATGCCGCTTTCAATGAAAACTTTCGTCGAGCTTTTAAAGAAACCCTTCGCTGCACATCCCTAAGTGAGATATCTGCAAACATGTCCAAAGCAAGGGCCAGACGACCACAAGCATAAAGTCTATCAAAGTGGAGCCAGAGAATTGAGATTTACTWAGATCTTCCRAAAGATTTGATAAAAACTTTGCCAAATGTAATAAATAATCGGCATGACAGTAACCTTATATTTATATAATCAAAATTAATTCATTACAGTACCATAGTATTTACATTGTGGGCGCAGTAGTGCCGCTTAACCCCTATTGAGACTTTTTGAATGCTGACCATATTTATTAAGTGCATCCCCTCCCTCTTCGAGTGATCTGCACCGCTCCAAAAAGAAAGACCTTGATCCGTCCATATATAGATTTTAGTTTCAATTAAATTGCCCTTGCTCTCTTAAGTGATGTTGGTTTATATCAAACAAATCTGTTCATTACGTTTTTGCACACAACTTGTACTAGCCGAYATAAAGGATTTGATTGTAATTCATTGATAGTATTGAGGACCCCATGGTAGAGGTACAAAGGAATACATATGAAAGAGGAGAAGAGTGATTGTTACTTGCCATAGCTGGTCATTGCCAAGCTAATAGGTGGGAGTAATAAATAAGATAATAAAGATTTGTTTTGAATCTTTCCAAGTAGGTTTGTAATTGGCAGAAGACTAGAAGTAGAACATCTTTGAGTGATTTTCATATGTTTTATTAATGTTTGTTTGGTTTGAAGTTTGCCAGCTAATTGCCTCTGATGACAGTTATTGTATTTCCAAATTGAATTAGAGCGAGAATATTAAAGGTTAATTGTTCTTCGAAATTTGAGTTTGTCTCATAACAGATTTTGTCAACAATAATCAAATCAAGATTGCAAACTGTAATCT